TAGAGCTATTTTGAATTTTCCGAAGTACATCCGGCAAAAACAGGATAATAGACCCACTATGAATACTTTCGTTCCACCGGGTAGTTGAGCACATCCTGATTGGCCATCTTCCTGTATCCTGATTGGTCCTCGTGCTCATCAGTGAGCATTGTGGGGCTCTGCTCAACAATGAGTGTTGCTCCGTAATGGACAGTCACGTGACTGTGGCACGGTATGTAGGACTGTGGCACAGTGACTTTTAGGTTGAATCCTCCAAACCGCTGACATTGCTTGGGTGTCATCACCATAAGCGTAATCATGGAGTTCTTAAGAGTTGCCCCGATTGAGGATTGTACAGCCGCTAGCGATCGCAGCTTCACCCCTGCGCGCTGCTGCACATCCTTTTTGCTTGAGTGCTGACAGGGGTTCATGACGTCCATGACCCCACTTGCTACAACTGCGAGCAAGGGTGAAGCTGCAATCGCTAGCGACTGTAACACACACAAAGCTATCTTGAGAAGAGGTGAACTTGAGCGAAGGAGATGGTTGATAGTCAAATCATGATAGGGGAAAGACTGTCAGACAGTGAGTTTCAGATGGCTATTAAAGCAGCCTATGAGCTGATTACGACTAAACATCTTAATACAATAGTAAACAGTATAAGAAGGAGGTGTTAGCTTACCACCTATCTAGTTAAATAAGTAAGTAGAGCCAATCATGAGACGTATTCTGGTTTTACGAAAAAGCGAAACCACGTAATTACGCTGATGATGGTTTAATCAAATGCCGAAAACATGGCCTCTTCCTTCGGGGCTGTTGACGCGCGGTCTAAACGTGTTGTCATAGGTCAATCCAGTTGCACTGCCCCAGACTCCTGCTTGCCAAGTGGTCAAAGCTCCAACAGTCTATACATAAGACGTCGTCTTCCCGCCGCACCGCTTTCTCTGCTACAATAATACACGATGGACTACATGAAAGTCACGGGAAAGCCGCGCGAGGTAGCGAGATACTCTCTTGTCGAAGTGGATAGCGATACTGGCATTTCGGATGAAACTTATTGCTACGGAACCGAATCTGGAATACCTGGGTCGTCCTGGGAAGCTTGATCGCATTCCCTGCGTTTGGGGGAACCTTCTTCGCGCCGTAACTCACTCCAAAAATGACATGGAAAAGATCTTCGAGAACGAGGGAGCGAGGAAATTCGCATATCGCGTTCACGATGCCGGCAACCATTTGTTTCTTGTTCTCGATCATCAGTCCAGTCCGGTGCTCCTTCGAAGGGTTGCATTTGACAATTCAGTAAATCTGGAGTTAGAGGGAAAAGAGCCAGATCCAGAAAGCGACACAGCCTCTTACAAATACTCAAATCTATTACAGGAATCTCTGCGCCAGAAGGAACTCTATGGATGGATTATTTACGAGGAATTGATTTCACGTTGCCCCGGATTTGTCAAACCATACGCGCTTGTTCCCTGTCTTGCGAGAGATCAGTTAGAATGGGTATAGAGTAAGTCGGTATGTCGCAAGAGCAAGTTACTTTATTGACCATTTCAAGCCCTGCTCAGGTATTTGGTTCTAGAATACACCCCCTATTCAAAATGAATATCGAAATGTAGTGTTAAGAGTAAGATCCTCAACGAGAGTGGGATGCAGCTCTACGTGTCGAGGACTCTAGAGGGTTGGTTTTCGCGGATGGAGCAGCAGCGGTATGAAGAAGAGGTTTTCTCAATAGTTAATATATTGTACTCGTAACTTAGGTTGAACACATCGAGCCATTAGGGCTCAATGCCTAATGCTATATACTAGGGAGTGTGACTTGCTCATTACTGAGCACTCTAGTGCTCAATACTGAGCGTCGCTGATTGGTAGTCTTCTTCCTTGTGATTGGCTACCGGTGCTCAGTACTGAGCACTGTGGGTCCTGCTCAACGTTGAGCGCTTGCTCATTATTGAGTAGTCACGTGACTGTGGCGTGGTTGGTAGGATCGCGGCACGGCGTTTTAGGTTTGATACTCCAAACTGCTGACAGTAGCTGGGCGTAATCACTTTCGGTACCACTGTGGTATTCTATTATGTGCGTTTTTCCTGAGATCCTAACATGTAGGTGAAGGTTAAAAAAATTTAAGATTAAATTTTTCTATATCATTGGTTAGCTAAAATAACCAATGAATCAAAATGCGCTAATTCTAACGGTAACTATACTAACGTGCATCCCTACGTGCCGGGACGCACGGTGTAACGGGACACTTTTTCTTTCGGGTGCCCGGATTGTACCAACTATGCCTATAAATGTACAGGTCTAGCGTGCATCTATTTTACAGTTCTTGCTCTTCTAGTGCATCAGCCTCCGACGCTGAGAGGCGTATTGTTGACCACGCTATCGCTCGTTCTGTCAGTGCCGTCCATCGACTCTCCTCTAATACCTCCTTGTTTGTTCGCGATGGTATAAACTACTACAGAGCTCGGTGGGCTAGAAAAAAAGCCAAGATAGCAAACATTAAGACTGCATCCCGGCAGTTTCTCCGCGCTGGCGACAACATCGTCAAAACGCGACTAGCCGGCCGTGCGACTTTAGCGGCGTTTGGCAGCGGTAGCGTGCTGAGATATCTGCGAGGGGTTGCGCGCTGTGGCTGAGAGCTGCGGCTCCCATTCATCGCCCGACCTTAGATAGCTCTTATTCCCGGCCCGGTAAGCAGCCGCCCCGTCGCACAGAGCCAGGCGAGACACTATAACGATAAGCTTTATAGATTAGTTAGCTATGTTTGCTGGCATCTTACCCATATATGTACTCTTCTAACATAAGTTTGCAAGGCAAACACTGCCTTAGTATACAAGCACCCCACTCCACTGTCTCGCCAGACAAACTTCACGGAACATTAGCGTAAAGCTCACCGGCCTTAGTGTGGGACCCGGCAAGAGAAGTATAGATCCAAACCCCGTGTAACATGAGAGAATTGATAGCTTCGCCCAAAACAACCCTAAGGGGCTCATGGCACCAACTTTTAAGCTTAATTTTTTCACCAAAACTCGTCAATTTTCTATCAGATATAGGGGTAACACGTCGTGGGAAATCGATTAACGCCACCTCTAACGTGTGCAGCCCTCTCGTTGAGGTGTTAAAGGGGGTATTATCGATTTTCCCGCGACGTGTTCAAAATGCGAAAATCTTCGAGAACTTATCTCACTAAGCACTTGGTCCTAAGAAGAATGTGTCAACTGGCCATTCGGTATTAGATAACGTGCATCATGACATGTTTTGGTGATATGTTGTACAGCCTAACAATGGATCAACGGAGAAAGGGCGTGGCCTCTGGGATATCAGGAAGATTGTTATTGAGAAAGAGAAATTTAGTCCATGATAAGTATCTCTGTGCCTAGGTACGTAGCTCAAAAGAGCTCACTGATGCAGCGACATGATCAAGATCGCCAAGAAAGAGACCGGTGTGCTGTCTATCAAGACTGACACTGCCACCACGCGGATCTATATGAGTTGCTGAATAGCCTTTACACGTATTCAACCTCCGCGTCCTCCATACTATCCCTCAGAAAGTCTCCCTCATTGTCTCGCTCCTCCTGCTTGATGTCTTTGCCACTCTTTGCGATCACCTTTTCGGTATCCTTCATAGCAGCGAACTCCTGCGCATGATCTGCTTCAGCGGACAAACTGGCATCTTCAAGCTCGTTTGCTTCGGCGCGCAACTTGGCAGCTTCAAAATCAGCCTCAGACTCGGCCACTGTAGCTCGTGCGCGTAACTGCCCTGCTGTTTCTTTGGCGTGCTGGACGACAAGATCAGCTTGCTTGCGCAGTACCTCTATGAGGCGTTTGTTGTCTTTGGATGGTCGGGGTGTCTTGCGCGAAAGATCATGACGGGATGAGCAGCCCTTTCCGTTTCTCGGCTGCCATAATACGTTAGAAAGAGCAAGACGAGATAAAGAGACAAACAAAGAAACATCACTTACCATGGCTGTGAGACGAAGTCGTTGTTGTTTTTGCAGTTACTGAACAGAGGAGCTGGGGGTAGAGCGGTTGAAGTGCGGTTGCGTGGAGAAGAAATAGAGTTTGCAGCCAGAAGTCTGATTGATATACCCCAGGACTGCGCTGGTAGTGAGCGTGCGGTAAGCAATCACTCTCACTATTGTGGGTGAACAACGTGATAGCCCGAAGCGGACTAGCCGGCTAGGTTACGAGACTTTCACCTTCATTACCCAAAACAGTAGAGATCCATTACTATCGCTCGCGCCTTTTCCCTGCCCTAAGCGGCTATCTATCTCAGAGTCGACTTGAGATGACGAACTGAGTTATCCAAATCTCGTATCATTGATCGAAAACCAGTGCTCGTCTCTACAGGTGTTTGTGCTCGACTTTGCGGACAAGCTAGATGCCAACCCTGGCAACAAGCCGAAGCCACTGCTCTCTGCGCTTCTGAGTGTTACTTCCGCTCCAATCCACGTGGACCATCTTCCTAATAGCTATCAAGACGTGTCCATCCTCACTGCGCCTGGGCAGCCCACATGGCCTGCAAATACAACGCGCCTGGAGATTACCGGTCTGATCGTGCCTATGATGTACTCCGTAGCTGCGGTATATGTCATGAGTCTGTCGGTGGACATCAATTCAGAAGTGCGCAGCACCTACGCCTTGTCTTCGATTCGGACTCTGCGCCAGATGCCCCTCTTGATCAGGAGATATAAGACTTTGACGACATCCTGAACGCTGTTATTGATGCGGCTAACAGCCAGGGTGTTTATGTTGGGGTATACCTACGTCGTGCTGGCCATCTGGACGCGGTCGATGAATTTTACAAGGGCAATGAGGCTGAGCCCATCCTCTGAAGAGAGCAAGTGATAGATGAGGGCAGAGCGGTCAATGAAAGGAGATTTGGATGTGCTGGAGCTTGGGTTACAAAACCCTGGCTATGCTTTTTGGAGAGTTTCACACGATGCAATCAATATGAGCGATATGAGTATACATTTTTGAGAGCCATATGTATTCCTTGTTCCTGCTTCACAAATTCTCCGCAGCTAGATAAATATCTACCCATGATTGAACAGTCTATTTATGTCTTTTGTGTTTATTCGCAAGCCTCTGTGATCTGCATTATTCTACAAAGCCTGGCTTTGATCGCTGGCGACGTGTCTGTGGATGTAGCGCTTGATACCAGACAATTCTCCCATAGCCTTGTGCATGCCCTCAGAGAACTGAAACGCGATTAAGCCTTTCTAGCCACCGAGGATATGATTTGAATTGACCTACTAACCAGTAGAATAGAGCCAATTTCTAGAGCTTATAGTCCGCACTAACGTTAGGGAAGTACATGCCGCAGGATGAAGTCGCCACAGTTGCCCATGAGTGGAAGGTAAGCGCCAGAGGCATCTATTCAAATGAAAGTGCCCCATTTCACCACCACAGAAAGCGGGTGCATGCATACTTTCCTCTTAATTCAGTGATCTGTATCGTAAAAACGATAAACAATTGGATCTACTAGTACGCGTGGTTGTCCACGATATCTGGATGTCTTGCCCGCAAAAGAGTTTTTTTCAAAGTCCGTCAAACCGTTTATCGTACTCTATGAATTTTGGCTGGGTTACCTTTTGCCTGGTTACATATTCAATATCTCGTATGACCAAATCTATTGGCATCATATAAGAGACTCGTGTAAACTCATTTGAAGCAAAGAGTAGTCCGACCATCGTGGCAGTGGCGTTGTCTTCGTTGAGTAAAACACAGCTGCCAGAGTCTCCTCCCCGCATGAAATCCTTGTGCTTTTGCTCGTGAACCACCCCAAAGGCCAAAATGACATCATTTGCTGCGCCATAACGATGGCTGAGATCGACTGGTACAATGTTGGTGTTATCGTTTCTGAGGTTAAGGAGGGATCCAATTCGACTGATTTTGCCTACAGTCCATCCTGTGCTTCTCCCTTTTTTGACCACGTTGTAGCTACGGTCATGCTTGACCTGTGTATATCTTGTGGCGCTAGCTGACGTTGGGATCTTGATATGTAAAGGTACACCGGTGATGTAATCGGCGAGTTGACGGTCCGTGGCCAATTTAACTAGAGCCCAGTTAAGACCAAAGTCCAAAGTGCGGCCGTTGATACGAGTATGCAAGGAGGGTGAGCTTATGTTGTCTATGCTCGCGACCTGAGAGAAGCTCTCTCTTTGTGCGATTGTGTAATTAGTGTTGTTACATATCCGGAACCCAGATGAAGCAAATACAGTCCCAAAGAGCCGATTGGGATTGTCATTGAGTATTTTGTAGTCTGCAATGTGTTTTTGGAGCATCTGATTCTCGGTATCGTAAAACCGACTTTCTTGCCTATGCGAATCAATGAGGTTCTGAATCCGCAATTGCATTCCAGCACGCTCCCGGGATGTGAACTTCACAAGGTTTTGGTGATCGGTATGTGATGGAGCAACAACTCTAACAAGCTCGCCGCGGCAAATCTCGTGATCTGGGGAAAGGAAACGTCCTATAGGGCAGTTTTTTTCTGCAAGACTATTTTCTGGTGCGATGGCATGGTGGTTGGTTAGCCCGCAAGTCGTTTCCTTGCCCTCACTGTTGCGCAACTTGACTACCGCGCTGATGGTGGCTGAGCTGCTAGACTGGTCTAATCCAATACTGGAGCCAATTTGAACTACGTTGGAGTAATCCATCAGGGTGCAGTGGATCGCTAGTGGACTGGCATCTTCTATGGGACTTTCCATGGCTGTGTGGTTATCTGGTTGTGTGCTTGATGCTGCGTGTGACAGTTGAGAACCATAGAGAATGTCTATGTCCATATCTGGTGGCAAACAGTATCGCAGCCTTGGAATGATCTTCTGTCGCCATATCTCATTCTCAGGATCTTTTGTAGTGATCAGGACTGTGGGGACATGAATTGGAAATTTGGTCCCAAACTCTCGCGAAACAACATCAATGGCTAACCATTTCTGTTCTTTGATCTCCTCAAGCAGTGTTGGGACAAAGAGCCGCCAGTTCGCGAATAACCCTGGCCTGCAGTCGAGTAAAGGGCCTGCGGAAAACAGATAAGCAGCTTTGCTGTCGATAATTTCGACAAGAAGTTGTTCGAGTCCATGGTTATCGAGAAAGTTTCGAAGCCTCTTAGCTCCAGTCTTCCAGCACATGTATTGGCCATCGATGGAGAGATCAGACTCAATCAAGAGTGTTGTTGGCGCGCTGACCATCCCTGGTCGGAATCGCTTGACAAGGCGTTGCGCGCATACAACAACGTTTGCGTCTTTCAATATCTGGTGAACGTCCTTGTGAAACTGTGTAAAATCCCAGTATGGTATCTCATTCACTGGCTCCCAATCCAGAGGCTGGGTGAGCGGAGCAGGAATTGCAACTCGGTATGAACAACTGGTGTCCATATTTTTCTGTGCGTTCGCGTTTGCGGTCTTGTCTGTAGATAATACTCGAACGGAGGGGTATATCTTGGGTACTTCGAGAGATCGGGTTCTGCGAATTTTTTTTTCTTGTTTAAGATTCATCGATGCAGCTCGCTTGTGGGATGAGTTACGAGGGGTCGGCATGGCGGCTTATGTAGAGAACAGAGGAAGAACGAGGTGGCTTCGTTGAACCTTGGTTCGCCTGAATCTTGGTTGCGCAAACCGTGGTTGTGTTGGGCTGAGGAAAACACGAACAAACGAAGTCACGCTTGGCCTTGAGCGGATTTGAAAGTGTGCGCCAATAACAGCCGCATAGCTATTTCCTGATAGATGGGGCTATCACTGCCTAATACCGTGGTGATGGATATCAGGGACTTTTGTGAACGACAGGCAGCGGCCTTCTTCTCACCTGCTTCGCGCAGACATTATGGGCCTGTTCGGTGACTCCAGTTTCAGTTCTGGTAGTGGCGTTCTTGGCTGTATACGGCTAGGAACTGCAACTGCAACTGTAACTGGAGAATTGTTCGGTGCATTCCAGTTTCAGTAGCATATAACCTGGGTCCAGTTTGTTAGCGCTGACGCGGTGGATTTAAACCTTGTATTGTGCATAATCGACAGAAACTGTACCTCAAAGAGCTGCCAAGGTCTCCAGTTTGCAACTGGACCTCGCGAGCAACAATTTCAGTTGTAGTTTCTAATTTGCACGGTCGACATCCCAGCATAGATACTAAAGCGGTCTTTACTGTTGCTGTAGCTGTCACGAAAGCAGTAATTCCTAAACTTATCATCAAGATAGTCCACCATAGACGCCGACACAACACTGGGATCAGACTCTGGGAGTCCGATCGAGACCGCGGACGGCGTTGGGCATCGTTGCCTCACTGACGACAAGCAACTACTGGTCGACAGCCGACTCCGTCGACCAGTGTTCAACGCCCTCGCGGATTACCTCCGAGCACATAGTTGTGTTGACAGTAGAAACTCAGTTGAGGAGCGGCTGCTGGAGTTTTTGTATATATGCGGCAACGGCACGTCGTATCGGAATGCGAAAAACCGCTGTGGGGGCTCACTCGACACTATATCTTAGTCAGTAGGATATTGTCTTGCCCGCAAGCCAAATAATTTACTACTAGTAAGACACTTTCACCAACCACTAAAAGTACTAGTCACCAGCCTATATGATGAGGCGGTGAAGCTTCCACCAAGCTCAACGCCGGCCCGGATCCAAAACGACAGGCGCGTCGCTGCCTTTTGCAATTGCATCGGCGCAGTCGATAGGACATATTTTCATATTCATGTGCCAGCTAGTAACCAGGAACGTTTCCGCAATCGTAAGGGGTTACTTATTCAAAACGTGTTAGCAGCTATGGATTTTGATATGAGGTTTACTTACGTACTGGTGGGATAGGAGGTCTCGGCCCATGACGGTCAAGTATACCAAGACGCGCTCTGGCTTGGATTTCATGCACCTGACGACCGCAAATGCTACCTGGCGGACGCTGGATATGCCAATAGTGGGATATTGCTCTCACCGTTTCGACGCGTCCGCTATCATTTGCAAGAGGTGGGGGCTCTGGACTACACACCACAAAACCCACGAGAGGTATACAATCTCCAGCACTGGCGGCTGCGTAATATGGTGGAGCGTACCTTTGGTGTCTTCAAATGGCGGTGGCGGATATTTCATCGTGCGCATGAGTTTTCAATCTAGACGCAAGTTGAGATGTGAAGTTACCAGCGGAGGAAGCAGAGGAAGGAGATATACCAGAAGATCCCATTAAGGCTGACGAAATGCTTGTACGGAGGAATCAAATTGCAGAAGGACTCTGGATCAGTGATGTCCAAGAGCAGCAGGAGCGGCGGCGGCGGCAGCGACGACAGAAGCGACAGCGGGAGTAGTAGGCCGCGCGGACAGCAAAAATTTGGCATCAGTAGTAAAAGTGGGAGTTAGGAGTGATGAAGCAACTGACAGTAACTTGTGCCAAGAAACGGCCATCACGTGGCGTCAGAGACAATCCGTAATGTTACGTCATGAACTACCCGATTCGGCAGACACGTGATTGCTCTGCTTAGTCAACCCCACCATTTGGACATGACGCGATTGCAAGTTTGCTACTCAACACCATGCCAAGCCTCATGATAGTGGCTCGTGCGGATTTGTCAGCTTTGCAAATCAAATCGATACTATCCCGCCTACAACCTCGCGAGCTCTACAGCAAAATCTTCCACTGACAACGTCCTAGGATCAAGTATATCCTGTCGCGCCCGCCTGAGCGTCTGCTTCACCCAGTCCCGTCTCATTTCTGTAGAATATACAGCAAAAGGTCACGCCTGTCGCCCTTCTTCGAGGTGAGAAGGTATGACAGATTTGAACTCGTTATGAAGATATCCATACTGATCCATGAACAGATCTATAGCCTCTCGCTTGCAGTTAGACGGGATCTTTGAAGTAATAGAGCTAAGCTGCCCAACGAGCCTAGACAAAGAACCTGATAGCTGACTTCCAAGATCAGATTCACCAAAATCTCCTCTTACCCGTCTTCTCCGCCGCGGCGGTACTTCTGGGTCCGACGACGACGACGACTGACGACGACGACGACCGACGACGATGAGTCTCACCCGCCGGCTCCGCTGTTGCCAGCCCTGCTACCAGCCCTGCTACCAGCTCTTCCGGAGTCACGACGAAGCTGCCCGTTGCCGGATAACCACTGAACAACTGGCGGAGAGTATCTGCTGCTCGCAGCAGTTGATATCTGAATTTGGCAGCAAACGGATGACCAGTCTGATCAAAGGTGAAGCTGGACTGGGACAGCAAAGCGTCCCAATGCTTCCAGTCCTTCTTGAAGGTACCAATTTGGTTGTACAGTGTTTTACTGTAACCGGAGTTGAGCTGACATTGGACAGCTGCCCGCGCCGATACCCATGCCGACTTTTTGAACGAAACTGTCCGCCCGTAGTCCTGCCCGAACCGATTCCAAGAGCGAGGTTATCAGACTATCTTCCATAGTTGTCGTTCAAATAAGACGCTGTCGAAAGGCAAGACCGGGAGCGCCGGGATACTACGGTAGAGGTGTCGACTGGGACACCTAGGATAACTGCGACTGCGGCTGCGACGGCGCCGGCGTCGACATCACAGACGGGAGGACTGACAGTGACCGCTGAGCAGTTGTGGTATACATGTGCGTGGACGGCACGGACGGTGTAAGCACTCCTTGATTCATGTCGAGAATGTTGACTGACGGGTTGTAGGCAGTGGCGACAAGATGACGTTAACCCACCAGCGAACTGGAACTGGTTTCAGGACAGCTGTCTAGCTTGCTGCGTGATTTGGGATAGCTCTGCTGACAGCTGGTCCTTGAATTGACCACTGACGAACTGAAATCCCTCGGCATAGTAGCCGAACTTCCCATGCCCAGACGGATGACAGCGCTTTCTTGGTCAACGACCCGTCTAGCACAGACGGATATTAAGTCCTCGGCATCAAGTATATTCTTCAGATCGAGTTCCACCTCTTCTGGCTCTACTGCCAGAGCACAGCAGATCCCTATCGTGGGAAGCGGCCGTTTCGCATGCGTGATCCGTATCGATAGAAGTCTTGGCGTGTCTGTGGCCGTGGCTATCGCCTGGCCGTGACCATAGTCGAACAAGGCCACTCACCATGTATCACGTGCAAAAAATACAACTACAGCTGCAGCGCCCCTTGGCTTTTTTACAGGCTGTTCGAAATATTATATGCACTCACCATCCTAGCAACCCAATCACAGGCTGAGCGGTAGCCGCTTTAGTATCTGGGCTCTTGATCGCATGGTACGATTGTCTATATCGCATGTGGTGTTGGTCGCACACTTGCCCCATTTGTATTTCACTTGGTCATGCTTTCGCGCATCAGTGCCTGAGTGAAGGAGTAACCGCAGTTCGAGCTGCTCCACACCCACAAAGGTACTTGCTGCCTAGTGCCACCACATCTCTCCTTCTATACTTGCTTGCCGCCATCCTACCTACAGCCACCATGGCACAGCGATTCGGCACACCCCCCCCCCCCCCCCCCGTACAAAACTAAGGAGATTGAGCTTGCAAAAGCAAAACGGCGATTGCAATCTGCCTCCGATAAGGAGATCTATGAGGAGATGGACAAGAAAAGGCCTGCCGCGTACAGGCCTTTGCTAGCGGTATTGTGAAGCTGTGTACTGCTACCAATATGCTTAGGCTGGGGCTTGATGCGCCTGGAGTTTGAGTCGTTCTTTACTTGAGCATGCCCTTGCTATTGCACTACTATAATAAGGGTGGGCGAGCTGGCCGTACTGGCCTGTTAAGTGAGTTGATCGTGCTGCGGGAGTGGTGACGAACCAAGACTAGAGATAAACGGCATCATCTCCCGTACAAACTCGATACTCCCGGCAAGGCTTTTCTTACGGGCGAGCAATACCGCAGATTTTTTTGTGATGTGGATCACGTGACGACCACCACCACTGTTTGTGGACGGGTCGGGTTAGCGCTCTTTCTAGCCGCAACCACACCGCTGGTGGAGCCGCACCCACACCGCTATAGATAGAATATATAAGTAGCTGCTCCCACACTTGGTAAGAGAGATGAGCGATTAATACAATCTTCTGTCTACCATATATTCAACAAGAATCGCCATCGACTAGTATATAGATAGAAGGCAAGATTGGGAGCATTGCAGTGTAGGAGAGGAGCGCTGCGATCAGTGTACAGTGCATCCTCGCGGTACAAAGCGCCACACGCCTTCTGTACTACCTAATGCCGATGCCCGCTTGCACAGACTACTACGCATGAGCAACGCGAGATTGAATGCCGGTTACAGAGTAGACGTTCAAGCCAAAAGACAACTCTAGAGCATATGCAGCAATGTATTGAGTAATAGGCTAGTGTCTGCCCTATCTGCATGGCCATAACTAGAAGACCTGTAAGCCACCGACCCGACATATGCCAACTTGCCGACGCTGCTCTCTTTTAATGAAAAAAGTCGTAGTCTAGAGGTGTACGACTCTAGCAGTTTTGCATGCTGTTTTAACTGTTGGCTTCCACAGACTATGTGCAACGCATAGGAAGAAACGAGTAAGCAGGGGATGATTCGATAACTATACTAAGTGGGCTTCTTCGCAGTGAGGCTACTATTCGAAAACACATGACTATCGTCCACATCCTCGTCTGGGAATTTAGCCCCCTGTTTGTAATGATCTTCTCGGTGTATTACAAATGGTTCAACCCTTCTGCTCTCAACAGTATCTGGACAATTAGATAGAAGCTCGGTTGCACGCCTGTAGATATCTAGCAGCGTCGGTCGCTGCTGTGGATCCCAGTTCAAACAGTTTGCGATGAGATTATTTAGTCCTGCTGAATAGTTTACGCATGTTGGGAACTGACGAGCATCGTCAAAAGGTTGGGAGGTATCAGTGTTTGTAGGGCCTGGGTTTCTTTTGTCGGCAAAGTAACCAATATTTTTATCGTTATCGTCGTCATCATCGCCATCATCGTCTTCATCCCTAGGTACTAGACGGAGAGGGCCATGTTGGTCTTCAGTACCATTCATAATAAGATTGTATCCCATATGGCCACTTTAACTTCATAGTTAGTTATAGCACTAGCTTACACTAATAATATCTAGGACTTACATTTGCCATACATCAGTCCATTCTGATAAAGGAATCGGGGTTCCATTTTCGTCATATATAACGTTCTGTTGCTCCTATTCCCACTTAATGTTCTGCTAGTATATGTCATAAATGATACTTACTGGAGGGTATGCACGTTCTAGGCTATCGAATACGTACGCATGAGGATTATCACGATTTCTACTGATGGATATGGGCCCATCTGGCAGATTGTCGCCAGTAAGAGAATGGCTTGGGTCCATATTCGTAAAAGATCGGCCAAAGTCTCCAATAACTAGAGTGGGATACTGTTATCTGTTAGTTTACCTCAAGCCATGTATAGAAATAAAGCTACTAACATCTTCTGGCTGGCCTTCTGCAGGTCTAAATTCTGGAGGCTTCACAAATATATTATTCAACTTGATATCGCAGTGCGTAATTGGCTTCCAACCTCGTCTTATTCCCTGGTTGTGCTGTGCGATAGGGTAGCCCGTGCGGAGAACATAGCAAGCCTTTACCAGCTGGAGCATCAACCATGCCACAAACCGCTCAGTAAGAAGAAGAAGAGACTTCTTTTCTATTGCTTGGCTATTCTGAGACGACTCAAAGCTTTCAGAACTTCCATATTTATGCTTCCCCATATCGTTGAAGTGTTTTTGGAGGGAGTTGTGAACGTCTCTACCTGGGCAGTATTCGAGGTATAGACGGTAGTAACAGTTTTGAACGTCGAGATGGTAGCCATAACATTGGACAATGTTTTCGAAACCTACCCCATTAACTGCTTCGCGGGCTTCCTCAATCTGCAGATGGGTACTGATTTCGCGAGGTAGCTGGTTTCTCCATTCAATGGGGTCGCGCCAACCATTGTTTTCAGGCCGGACTTCCTTCACTACTACACGCTGTTTAATACAGTTAGCATGATTGTGTGTTAGTAGCTTTCATCATATAGATGAGGCTTAATAGCTTTGTAGTAGTAAACTTACTTGGGTAGTTATACCAAACTCGTCCAATCCAAGTACTAACCCTGTAATACCATCCGATCCCTTCCCAAGACATCTTCCACCTCTCCATTCATGAGCTTGTAACTCGATGGGCCCTGGTGCAGCCAGCCATTCTGTCTTTAGTCTATCATTCTTTGACAACTCATCAATAGAGTGACCTTGATTGAGTGGGTTGTCTTCAAGTGGAGGATGGCCCATCTTGGGCACATAGTCGGGAGGGAAGGGATTCAATGGCAATCTTTTTTCCGCTCGTGCTCTGGCGCTATCGGCTGCAGTCCAAGGATATAGAGGTATATCTGGCTCCATGAAGAGAGGATAAATGTTTTTCTTTCCTTTCTTCGGCAAATAAAAAAGTTGCCACGCGGCAGAGCCCCACCATAGTGTCCAAGCAGTAATATGTCATCTACAGAGATTAGATCCTGCTCCTCCACTCTCTCATCTTTAAATATACCTTTTGACCAATCTTGGCGATTGGTTCTGCACCATGCGGCCAGCGCATCCCTTAGGTAGTACCAGGGGTTTTGGTAGGCTCGAATCTTGGTCATTTTGGCGATCAACTATGCTAGATCAATAGCCTCGTGTTCGAAGTTTTATCATGCCAAATCGAAGATGGCTTTGTATTTAAAAGTTTTAACTTATGTTGATTTTATCTAGGCTCGTCTCTTTGTTACAATATTACTAGTCCGTGCCTGTCTAAGCGTGGCGTCTTGGGGCTACCATGTCTAATCCAAGTGCGTACGTTTCTTTGTGTCAGGACTCGACTCCTGTTGGGCCAGTCCAGCCCAGTATGGGCATGGTCAGTTTCACCCATGTGTCGTTGACTATCACTGGAGTAGCTTTATAGTGATTGGTTGTGTTAATTATGACTATCTACTTACAATCATCTCTAACTTAGTTCACCTCACGCAGTACTGTGATCCAAACGATAGTGCAACAATTTGTATACTTTAGGAGCATTAGATACGGTATAGAAATATGCTTAGCATAATTTCTTAGACGAGGCTATCCCTCCATGTATTTGTTTACTGCTTTATTCTCTTTTCCTCGTTTCAGCTGCTTTATGGTCTTTGTTACTAAAGTAAGATATTCTTAAAAAAGAACCTAGGCTTAGATAAAGAAGCAACTTCGAGGGAAATTAATCAAAGACGCAGTGTAACTACCCGTGGACAGCGGTGCAGCACTGCAGCGGCGTAGTCGATCTCACTAGACATCTGTTAGAGCAGCACAGGACAGCCGTAAACGCGCGGAAACAAGCTGTACGGCGCTTTTCACACTACGAGATGAAAGAGCTAAAGGATGTTGAGCTTTCTAAGCAGTCCGCTTGCGTGGTTGAAGAACTGAGGACGCCGCTAGATAGATTTAGCTGCCAAACGAACGAGTTTCTCACTGTCAGCATCAATACAATGCTGTCGCAGTATCAATGGGTCAAAGCTGACCAGGATCACGTGATCTAAGATCACATGATCCGTCCGATCCTTTGATCCGTCCAATCCTTTGATCCATCTGATCCAGATTAAGTTGATCTTATCTGATTAGATGAAGTGAGCGGTGGATTAGATAGTGTGACTACGTACTAGACTAGATTAGCTTAAGGCTAAGGAGTATATAGTCTGAGCTATCTGCTGATCTAGATCAGCAGATTGATCGGTCCATCATCTCAATAGATTTCATTTGTTCAACGTTTGTTCAGCTACAACAAATGCGTATACATGTAGAAAAAAAAAATGCCAGTAACCATATATAAGAGAAAAAGTGCACTCATAGCTTTTATTGAAAACTCTAACATTTTTCAGCAGTAGTGGGCTGCAGATTTTTTTTTTACTTAATCACAATGAGGGCACGTTTATTGGGGTGAGTTGTAGAGGGTGTAGGCCGTTGCGTCACAATCGGTGCCCTCTGCGTAGACGGAGGCACCCACCCTGCGGCTGCAGAAGCCGACTCCACCACTTCTTCCATGGGCGTTTCCAGCACGATATCCGATGATGTAGGTATCCCCCCATACATGACATCTTGCGCAGCGCTATGCAGCCTCTCCCAACCTGATGCTGGAAGCGCGCTATCGCCCACCGTCTCACGCAGTAGCCATATGGCGGCTAGGAGAGAGTGCGCGATGAATAACGGCTTACGGACGTGAGTGCTTTGCTCTTCGGGATAAGCCAACCTGCGCAGCGCGGACTAGGACTGGCCTTGTCTCCCTGTGGCCACGATAGTCGTGCGTTGTACGTAAACAAGCTTTCGTAGTCTTCGCTGGGTGGCTGATAGTGATAGTTACGCGCCACATATGCGTCCATGTCTTTGGGAAAACTCCGCTCCCCGCTGTCGTACTCCTCCGCAGCATCGGATAGCTCAGCTGGCCACATCGTGTAGGTAGAATGGTACGGGTAAGAATGGCGTGTGTGTGGAACACGCTGGGAGGCTGGCGTGCCCCTTTTTATTATTCATTATCTACAGATAACGACAATTTTTTTCTTGTTCTGCTGGGTTCAGGATAAAAGCAATTGCCCTGAAACAGGGGGAACAGGCTTTGTCACGTTAGCCTTGGGTTATCTACTCTCTTGTATGGTCCTAAGTAGGCTATTATGCTGTAATGTATAGTTAAAAAAACGACCGTACCTAGTAGTAAGGAACTGCAAACTTATAGGAGACGACAGCATATAGCTAAACATGCGAAATATCATCAAACAAATCGCTTTCTCTCAAAGGCGGAGAAGGTAAGGGTGGAAAGTAATGTGTCGCTGGTAGCTGTATGCTATGCACATAGCATTCGCAGTAGATAATAGGAAATAGCGGTAAATTACAGCGAATAGCGGCAAGAAGCGGCGTCATCTAATCTGACCTTGGAGAACCGCGCACCCGCAAGTCAGATGGGTAAGAAGGTCAAAGGACAAAGCTACTGCGGCAGTACATGATCACACGCTGCAAACTGCGCGCCTTGCAAGAGACGAACGTTGCGTCACTAATGGCTATATTCAGTCGTGGTGGTTTAGTCGTTTGAGTCCATCAACCCCAACGTTGGAAAGCTATTGGCGTATATCCGGGTATCGTCATGGTCGTAGCGTACTCGATAGGTTGTCTTTGAGCTTCTATCGATTCGTGAAAAAGAGTAGTCTTCTTACGGGTTCCGCTAGCACTCGAAAGGCTGGAGCCATCCTAAACTAGCCCATCTTACTAGTCTAGCTGGAAGACTGGGTGACTGCGAGGACGTTTGCACCAGGAGACGCACCTTTTACACCCAAGACAACGCCTCTCCTTCCTACTCACTTGTAAGCCTCCCATCTCCTTTATCCTACCGTAGCCGACATAGGTGAGGCCAGGCCTGGGTAATCCCCATGTTTTTTTTTCTATTTCTTCCCTCTATCCTTGCCTTGCTCGACGATAGTAGCGACTGTATTTCTAGCTAATACAGCATCGCCTTACCAAACGCTTAACCCTTTCACTCTCATTACTCAGCAAGCGCCGCGCTCGCTCTACGAAGGGTACGCGCCTTTGACGGTTCACCTTCACGCAGAAACCGTAAACACAACCCCACCCAACAAATTTCATGTCTTCTCCCCTCTAACCCCTCACGCTATAGTTGGCTATAGCCAATTCTGGTTTGTTCTATCCGCCAAAGGTAGTTTCAGCCCGCTAACAAGCTAGCAGGGGAGCATACCATGGCAAAGGTAAACGATTCCATCATGCCTGATACGCCGAAGCGGTTGGCCACGAACTCACCTGACTCCACCACGCATGAGCAGTTGGCGACTACTGCTCCGCCTACGAAGCGCGTACAATATACCAAAAACTGGAATGATTTACCTGGCGAACTGCGCAACCAAGTCTACGCTCATCTATTACCCAACGTACCAGAGGTCCATGCCGCGCTAGACCAGACACGCTTCCCTTGGATCCGCTATTACTGCCTAAACCCTACTGCAGCACCTTGTTTTGTCTCAGCCCAGATGCGGAGAGAGTACATGAGCGAGCTACGAGCCCATCTCTTGCAGTATCTGGAGCGTCACCCGTTTACCGTCCGCACCAGGCCAACTGGTCGCCTATATCCACAAGGGATTCCAAACAGCAACCAACACCGCCTATGTACGCCAGAAGACGGACGGTCTCCATACCACCGCGATAGTATCTGCTATGCGTCTACTATGTTTGGATTATTGCTCATGGCAGCGCTAGACGCACTCTCCGTCCCTAAGTCAGAAACTCACTTCTGCGGCATTGGCATTGAACGAGTTGACCAAATTGCGAAAGAGGTAGCAGCCCGAGCTAGATACACTACAGGCATCTGCATGGAGGGGAGAGACGGGTTATCCGCGCATATGGTCAGACGATTCATGTACGACGTACTACCAATGCTTTCCGTCGTCCGTAGCGTAGTGGTTCAATTGAGACTCTATGACATAGCTAACACGCCCTTGCCGTGGCTATACGGCATTATTCGAGACCTTCGGTACATTGCTGAAAACAGATTCCTTGCGGTTACTGTACTAGGGCTTGTCAGCGAAGGAGAAGAAGATCGATGGGCTAGGGCTATTGGTCCTCTTGGTGGACAGATTATCACGTGGAAATTCGATTCTGGCTGCGTTCGCTTGGCCGAAGGGTTGGGATACCGATAGGATCTTACAACCGTTGCTTCACAGATATAATAGCTGGAATGGACTTGTATTGTATCTGAGGGTAGCAACTGGTAGTTTGTACTTTTGAAAACACTTCTTTGACAGATTCCCGGATACCCACACCCTATCCAACCCTGACCCGAGTACCCTATGCTAACCCCAACCCTAGACCATCTTGCTATCGCCGTCCTCGTAGAGTGGTTGCTAAGGCGCATAGAAGAACGTATTGAATCGGGTAGTCATCGCGATACCCAATTAGGTAAAGTTTATTGCTGGGGGGGGACGCTCAGTGCACCGAGTGTCGACTTGAAGGGCTGCGCGCCCACAAGTCATGACCAAGGCCATACTGCCAATGTTTGGCACCGTGCATACCAGGTACTTGAGGGAGATATGGCCCATTTTCCAATTTGAGCTGGTAGTACGTACGGTTCTTGAGTATGCAAGGGCCTTTGCCTTGAACAAACCGCACACTTGGTGACCAAGGAATACCACCTAGATAGTTGGCAAGGAAGTCTAGGTAAAACGTGAAATGTACGTATGGGATATTACCTGCCAATAGGGCCAAGGTGGTGATATAGTGGGGCTTCCAAGACTCAGGTTCGCCCCGGACGGTATGATCTTGGGGGAAGGAGGAGGGGTCGGCACTGGCAGTAGCTGCCAGCAATCTATATCCTGCTCCACCTTCGGGCGTTCGACCTCACGATAATGATCACGACTGTGGGTATCTCTGGCTAGCTGCTTGCTTGAGTGACGATACGCAGTTATTTGCTGAGAGCCGACCCACCCGGCCAGTATTCGAACCGTTAGCCGGTCGGTTGCGGCATCATGGTGTGCGCGATGGGGGGCGTCAGTTGAAGAAATATTTCTCGTATTTTTGTACATCTTGCGGTGTGGGATCATCGTGGCGAAATGCCAAATATCGCTGCGGGCAATGACTGGATACTGTGTCTCGGTTAGTTTGAAAAACTCTCGCAGTTACCGCTAGATTACTTACTAGAGCCAAGACACTTGTATCAAGTTCTGGACGGGCTGATCCAGATAGATTCCGAGGTGGTGAGACCAGCTTCAGAGACTGCGTGGGCGCACTTGATGGGACACACCTAAAAGTACACGTACCATGTAGTCAGCAGTCGTCCTTCCGCAATCGCAAGGGAGAGCTCACTCAAAACGTACTCGCAGTAGTCGATTTTGATATGAACTGGCTGGCTGGTTGGGAGGGCTCAGCTCACCATGGGCGAGTACTAGAGCTACAGGATGCTATCCAGCGAGGACGATCAGCACCGCAAAGTCGATATTACCTAGCTGACGCTGGGTATGCTAATAGGACACTCACGCTCTCACCGTATAGAGGCGTACGCTATTTGCAGGCGTTTTGCGCACGCTACAGAGCTGATAATTTAATATAGATAACAAGCGTACGAGTTGTGCAGCGCCGTAGTTGTTGAGATGAGTTTAGTCTGTTAGCAATAGGGTAATGGGTTGGTTGTGGTACACAATTGGATTGACAAGTTCTATCTACTATCTACTGCCGACGGTAACCTACTCGCCCAGCAGCCAGCAAAGACTGTTACTTACAGCACATGGCTGCAATAAAAGGTGCTATTGGCAGGGCATTACGTCCGAGTACGTACTCTCAGCGCTAACATGCGCACAGATGCTGACTTGCGAGCGCCTCCGAACAAAATCTCTGCGAAATTGACCATGTCGCTGGTCTTTTCCTGAAGGCAGTTCGTCTCCTCTTTACTGTCTGACCCCTGCTCAAACGCAACTTTACATCTCTATCACATGGATCATTATGGTAGCGGTCACTCTACTCAACCGGGTCATCTGGGTTAGTATTTTTTGTTCCTGGACAAAGTCTAGTAGGCCGTGTTGAGAAGTATACTTGGCCTAGAGGACGACATGGCTGGGTTTATAGCAGTAGGCAGAGCGCACGTGCATTTGGACGCGCTTTAGAACCTTGGTTTGCCTAGATCATGATTCGTCAGAAACTTGGTTTCGTTACGCAGACAAAATTATACCACGTGTGATAGATTGGTACATACCAGTAAGTGTGCGCTTTAGCGGGTAATGTTTTAGGCTGCTACACTTCGAGGGGTGTTAACCTTAGATGAGCAAGTGATTGCGGCGTGCAAATTCTAGTAGTGGAGAGACTGAGGGGCAGGCTATACAAACAAGTCTACAAGGGAAAGTAGTTGCTGGCACTATGTTTGGACGTAGCTTCTGTAAATCGCAGAGTAAGGAACCAATCCACCACACTACGTGGTATTTGCACTAGGAATCATGACGATTGTTGATGCTTCGGCCACGCAAGGAGCCTTTGTCTGGATGTGTTCATGCAAACTTTACCTTCTGCTGCAGTATAGCCTGGAAGTGGTTGACCTAAAGTGCGCCGCACAGGTGCGTGACTTGTTGCAGGAAGCAGGATAAGTACCTCAGTGGCTACCGCGTTCACCATCTCGAAAGTTCCCACGTGGCAACAGACCCTGTCGTAGACGTGCAGTCAACGCGCTCCTGGGACCTATTGTAAACAAGATTCGACTGCTGTTTGGATTCTAAATGTAGATTGTCATGAACGTGTCAGTAACACATGCTGCGAGCTTGTGTTGAAAGGGCAGGTCACCTCTGTGGCGATTATTTCCAGATCTGGATTATACGTAGCGTATTTAGTGGTAGTAGCCGGATCTCTGGCAGAACCAAACAATCAATCTTGCAACGCAACAGCTGGCACTAGGCTAAGCTCGTGAGGAGTTGCACAACAAGCATTGTGTTGCAGTGTTTATGCGACCTTTTGCATGCGCAAATCTTCAGTTGCTCGTGAATCTAATACTCTATAATAGATCCGATGCGCAAAGTCGTTCATGGTGGTACTTACAACTATGGGCCTTGGATGTTGAACGGTGTGCCCGAGTCTCAGATGCCTATCACCAGTACGGCGGTACAGAAAGTATTTGCTGGTGCTCCGGGAACAAGAGACATTCCAGGTGATGCGGAGTTGAGGATACATACCTGGCGCTCACAACAGTGCCAAAGCCTGTGCTTCAAAACTCGCCATCAACTGCTGCTCGGCACTGCGCCAATGCGCTAAAGAGGTGTCTAACTATTTGAACCCCAAAGAAGCTATACCAGCTTGCCGTTTCAGGAGAGCTATTGATTGAAGATTCTCGGGGTATATTTATCAACAATGGCAGGACCTTCAACATACAAAGCGCATCGTCTATGTACATCACCCTAACTAATAACCTTTGTGCAAATGGAATTGATTGTACGATAGATTAGCAAAACAACGTCTCACAGAACAATATTTACACGCTTCTGGTAAAGCACACAAGGTCTGGGCCCTTCAGCTACCCAATCATTCGATCCGATGGAGATGTGAATGTTTGTCACGTCACCCGATGTTACGCAGCCGAATAAGCATATCTCTAAAATTCTAGCATGGCTGCGGCTGACAAGTGTAGAGTTTTTAGAGTCCATCATAAATCATGTCGTTGTGTAACAACAGCACTTATCAATAAGTAGTATCCTACTACTCATTTAAATATACCCAAACTGTGGACTGTTATACGTATCTCGAGTGTGCTCTGCCTCGCTCAGAATATATGCTATGTGTGCGACCCCTTCCAACTATACCGGCCCATTTCAAGAAGCACACTAACAGTGCCCTGTTTATAAGACTATTTCAAATGGCGGATGCGCTCACTCCTCCGCAGCCCAATCTTTTCTTGATGCACTTCTGCTATATTAGAAGGACATTTAGTCGAGTGGAAGCCGTCGTGAGAGCACTTCTGAGACTGAGCGCAAGACGGTTCAACTTTTTGTTGAGACGAATAAGAGGAGGCGGGAGACATCAAACTTTGAGTGAGTACATGTGAGCTCGAAAGATCTCTAACGAGCGTTCTTGATTTGACGGCGCGCTGCCTCTCATCTGGCTTCGTGTCGAAATCTTGTTGCATCATGCGTAACGCTTCCTCTTGTACGCTCTCTTTGTCACAAGTGCTCCATCCAGAATCTCCATGTGGAGGATGGATACCCTGGTTGCTGAAAAATGATCGGTCTGGGATGCCTTCCTCGAGTACTGCCCGGAAGGCATCCCTCTCAAGCATCTCAACTATGGGGAAGAGCCGCTTTATCTCATTCGCCACGTGGACCCGCTGCCTCGCAATAAATTTGTTTATGCTTTCTTCATCACCATTTCCAAACTCGATATGCATTTCGCGGCGAACCATAGGGTCTCCCCAATGCACCTGGCCAACAAGTGCCCTCTGGATGTATGATTGTAGATCTATTCGGACGTCCGCAGGGAAAGGCTGATCAGTTCCGCCATACTTATTTGGATACCCCGATGGTGATCGCGGAGCAGCTAAGAGCTCCCGGTGAGCCTTACAGATTTCTTCATATGTTCCCAAATTCGGGTTCTCCATCGTGCCGTTACGTACAACGACGTACCAACAGGGAATTATCCGCCGATTTACCGTCATCGGGCCGGTCGAACCGTATGGCAGCAGAGGGTGAGAGATTCGCACTTGTCCTCGCTTGCAAGGTTGACGAATCCATTTTATGTCAGGAAGCTTGTCTTGAATGACCTGAGGCCAATCATTCTCGTCTTTCCATCCTTGAATCACATTTATAGCGCGAGCGCGGCCAGTGGTCTCGCGCCATTGCCGATATTCCGGAAGATGCCGATGGAAGCCCATAAGTAGTTCTGTGCAATTGTTCTCATCCTCGTCGTCTAAGGAAATGCTGCCGTGCATGAGCTTCGCGTCGGCGCCTTCATTAATGACCGCTTGATCAATATGGCGAAAGGCTGTATCAGCTCCTATTTGCGCGTACATAGTGTAATACGGATATGAGAGCAGAGTGTGTTCTCCACGGAGCATCGCGTACATCATCCAATACCCTAAGTCCACTCGGATTGCCTGTTGAATCAACGAATGACACATGAAGCGCACCCAGCCGAGGTTTTCGCGACCATCAACCCGACGCTGGTGGTATTTATACATGCGGAAGAGCGTGTCAATAATCCTCTCTAACTCAGGGTCGTCAAACATCCATTCGAAGCAATTCAAGACGACGCTCCCGGTCTTTTCGTATTGTTGAACAATATAAGTGAGTCCTGTTTTCCTGCCAATCGAATCCCAATCAAGCTCTTTGAAGATCCCGGAAGTCGTGTTGGGTTGGTACCGGTAATTCAGTATGGCATCCCTCCTATATCTACTTAGAGAAGAACTTCTCGTAATAGGCTGTGATCAAAACTGTACGCACTGATTTTTCCGTGGAAATAGCACCGATAGAGTATGATTGAGCGCGATGTGGTCCTCCGTGCCGTTTGCAACATCTACATTACGAGCCACTGCCTGAGTATGACGGAAACAGAGCCCCTGTTGAGTAGAAGGCGTTTGTGTACCAGCCCTTCTCATATCGACTTCGTAGTACCAGGAATCAGCCGGACTGTCTTGTTTTTCTTTTGTTGGGATATCCTTCGCAACGAAAATTTGATTGGCTTGTGCCAACACTTGCGCATGCTGACTATCAAATTTGCAGTCGTCGCCAGGAATCGGCTGCAAGTTCGAGTTCGTACGTATGTTGCATCCTTCGTCATAGGCGTTGTTTCCATTCTCACTGGGCGGAAATACATCAACAGAAAGGGTGTTTGGCGACACTGAAGCAAATCGGCTGTGCATGATCTTTTTCTCCATGAGGTCTGTTATGTCACTGGAAACCAGTTTGTCACTCTCTTCTTCCTTACTCTGCCATGGCTGTCGTCGATAATATCGAGCAGTCTCAGCAGTCTCGTTCTCTTCCATAGGCTCATTCTCAATAGCTCTAGTATACGGAGCGAGAATACGATACACGCTGTGTCGCATCACGCCCAATCCCTCCAGACGGCTCGCCTTCACTGACTCGTCCGAATAGAGCACACCAGTGTTCGGATTAGTGCTATTCCGGAACAAAATTACTACCTTCGTCCAATAAGCCGCTGCTGGGTTGGGCATTTCACCATACTTAAGATGCGTACAAGGGACAGCTTTTTGAGCGCTGTATCCCACATCCGCTTTCTTCAAGCCAGCCTTCTCAGCCTCAGTCCTTAGCACTTTGCATGTGCTGAGAGCAATTTCGCTCTCCCCCCATGTGTTGTTGCATGCAAAGCTGCAGATTTCCTTGATGAGGCTCTTTACCTCAGCCCAGTCAGCCCCATTAATCCAACGGTCTTTAGTTCGGTTTGGTGTTTCGATACGGCGTATGGCGGCCATATTCAACAGATAGGAGGCTTCTTGAAGGTTGATGCGTCGTAGAACAAAAGCCACATCGGAGATGGCTTGGTGTGTGTCAAGCATTCTCGGTACGAACTGCTCAATGTAGTTCTCTACTAACCCGGGCTGAAATTTCTTCACGTTCTTGATTGCAGATGACTGCTCAGCACGCCTCTTAGCCTTCGAATCCTTGACAGCTACGACGACGCTATGCTGTTCGCAGAAGCTCGCCACACCACCGTACTGATCCATAAGGACTGGAAGTTGGATGAACGTGTCCCCTAGTCGGTCGATGAGGTCCAAGACTTCTCCGTATCTTAAAGAAGCCTCGTTAAGCAACCGATCGACCAGCCACTTCTGCTGCTTGGGGTCTTGCTGTACTAGGTTCGCCACCCAACTATCTATATCCTGTAAGACGGCTTCCAAATATTTTTCAGGATTGCTCCGTTGATATTCCTGCATAAGGTTCTGCATGGGGATTGCGTTAGTGTTTTTGGGAGGCAATGAATCACTATGCTGTCCCTGGATCATTTGAGGGGTTTCAAACTTAGGTCCAAGACCTGAGGTAGGCCAAGTTATGCTGCCTGGACTATTCGGGAACTCCCGGTGCCCTGTCGAGATTTCAGAAAATCCAGGCTGAGAGCAATCTCTAGCAACATGATGTATGGCTTTCTTCTCTTGTCTCTGGCTTTGTTTTCGACTTTGATTTCCGTGACGCAATGTAATATTCATGATCTACCCAAAGTGTGATCAGTAAGAGACGATGAACTTTTTTGATAGCTTGAAAAAAGATGCAGACCGTACAATGTCGGAGCTAGAACCGATCTTTGAAATAAAGGGTCGAAGTGACTCTCGCTTGCATGAGAAGCTAGCCACCCCTTTGCTTCCCACTCTTACTATGCAAGTTACACCTATGAAGTATAAGATAGGACCATTTCCTCGTGCTTGCATTGCAGTGTCAAAGCCAGCCAATCTGTCAACTCACCGTCACTACTGCTAATATGTGCACAGATAGCCGATAACTGGGCTAGCAGCTGTTCACCGACCCCTTTCTGAAAATAGCTGTCCTTCGAGTTTTCTCCAAATGCGTCGAGGGTTTTGTTTGCTATGTAGACTGCTAGTGTACTGTAAATGCTTGTTGTTGTTGTTGTTGTTGTTTGTTGTTGTTGTTTGTTGTGGTCCATCACAAAATTCGGGTTGTGATTGCCAACCTGAATGGTGTGATCGCGCACAATTAACCGGACTGGAAAGCGCCGTACGAAAATTTGAATGATCGCATCTCACCGGTCATAGTCACTGTTACTGATGGGATATGCGTAACGGATGTACAGGCATTTGTACGTACATACCTTGCGCCTGAACACTAGTGGGCTCCTAATCCCAATCACCTAGTCATGCCCCAAGCACTTGCTTTCGCATCCGGCTACAGAATGCAAGACTAGCTGAGGAGGTCCGCTGCTTGTATTCCTGGTAGGTATCAGTGTAGCGATGTCGTGTCACCGACGACTATTAGCAAGTAAAAACTGATAAATGTATTTTCTAATTAGACCGCACAGTCGTGACGCACACCAAGTTATGATCATGGTATGTAGGGAGTAACTATATTGGCATTTTTAGGGGTTGCAGTCATCAAATATTGGTTGGGTGCCTTGGTTGTGGTGATTGCCACAAGGTTAGTAGCGCATCCAGTACATACGTAGTACTAGCTGGGATCTCCAGATCCAAACGAGCAGTCTCACCACACTCTTTTTCTCAACAGATATCTGGATACCTATTGGAAGCCCCTAGTTCTCATTGTTCCTCTTACATATGGAGTTCCCATTAGCTTAGGTGTATCGAATATCCTGTGTCCCACAGGTACACATAACACACATACATACTAAACTCTTGATCACGGGCTAGTTTAAGCCAAAGGCAGGTGAATAGCCTGAGCAACGTTCTATCGTTTTATCTCACCAAACTTACTATTGCCACCTGATCTGTTTGTATAACGGAAGTCGGTGGATGTTAGCAATTATCTCACTCGTCAGACTTTACGCTGGAGCCTCGTGATAGATTATGACCTAAGTAACAAATTCTCACGTAATGACACTCGAACCCTAAACTTAGTTTGTAATAAAAAATGTGCTTCGTTACCCCACCATTACTCCTCACATGGGGTTGGGGCAGATTCATGCAATAGATCTTGTGCCAGAAAATCAACATGTCTTCTAGGCCGAATGATGGCTTGTACATAAGTGCACCAGTGAAACCATTAGGTTAGATCCGCGTTCCGATAAAATGAGAACCGTCATGCGCATTTTTTATTGGTAGAATATCTCATTAAGTCTAAGCTTATCGCTTGAGGACCGCTCTTAAAAAGCTCTCCGCTGTACCTTTTTTGTGAAGCTTCTCGCTTAGTAGAAGTCTGCTAGAAGAGTAACAAACTTTGTTCCGAGCTACCTCAGAATGAATGTACGATAGCGTGCCAAAATGATCCGGTTTCTTTCCTTTGGGCAACGGCTGCCATGGCCATAGACTGTAATACCTCGCCTTGGATAGTTCGTCATATACTCCATAACTATTACCAAGTTCCAATCGTTCAACATAACGATAATCGTTATGTAATAGCTCGCAATTCATCGCTTTCTCATCACTCCGCGCACAGTCGAGATTGTGATTTGTAAAATCATCTCAGAAAGTAATTGGGCCATGGCAAATAGCACCGCCAATCTGTTGCAGTCTCAGTCTACCCAATATAGCGAAGTCGCATCCTCTATGCCTACCCGTTCCTAGATACAGTGTCTAGCTGCACCTCGACCATTTGCGCCATGGACTATACCGGTAACTTACCAGTGGAAATACTTCAAACAATTTTAGAGCACATGCCCCAAGAGCACGTAGGGGCTTTTCTGCAAACGAGCCAGCACAGTCACAACCACAGGGGATACAACCTATATCGACACATCGACATATCCTACCAAGATCCCCAGCAAATCTTTCAGCTTTGTGCACTTAGTTTCAGCAAAGATTACATTTCCAAGTACGCTCGAACATTGACCATTAACACTTTTCGGCTCAGGCTCCCCTCCGAAAGTACCCCACCACTTCTTGATGAAGAGTTAATTCTCCAATGGATCGCAAAACTGTTCCCATATCCTCCTATGGATAAGAGAAGACGAGATATTCTAGTTCAGTGTGAAAAAAATCGCAAATTATGGCACTGTGGCTTTTTAAAGTCAGTCATAAATGCCATGTTGGCATCCATCCTAGTCAACGGGACAAACTTGCAGCAAGTCTCTCTACAGACAGCAGCCTTGGGTAGCCAACCTACCTTTGCCGAATTGGTATGTAGCAAGGTTGCTTACGACTATGCAATGGATGTGGAAACCTTTCCTAAGATACGGCGCTTCTCCTTCACACCTTCTTATATGGACAATGGCGTGCCGCTTTTACCAAATCTTCATCATTTTGCATTGCACTATGCGACAGCGGGCGTAGGCCTATGTATCCATCCGCTCAAGTGTACTGAACTAGGTACGCTCCGATCGCTCACGTTCCGCCATGTCTATGCTGCTGGGGACAAGGTCCGTGGATTGTTGGCACTCACCAACTTCCCCTTTCTCAAAGAGCTCTGCATCTTCGAAGGGAGCTGGGACGATGATTTGAGTTATCCAGATCTAGTGTCATTGATCCACAACCGCTGCCCATCCCTGCAGACGCTCGTGCTGGATTTCATGGACAACGCCGACGAAGATCCCAGCAACAAGCCCAAACCACTTTTCTACTTGCTGGCGAGTGTCACCTCGGCTCGCATCCACGTACGCCATCTGCCCGACAGCTACCAAGATCTAGCCTACATTCTTGCGTCTGGACATCCTGCATGGCCTGAAAGTGTGCAGCGCTTGGAGATAACAGGCCTGGCCGTGCCTATGCTGAACGCTATGGCTGCGGCATATGTGATGAGCCAGCCTGTGGGCATTAAGCTTGCAAGCGTGCAGGAACTACGACTTACGTTCGAATCAAACGCACTTTTTGACCAGGACCTTCGAGACTTTGACAGCGTTTTGGTTGACGTGATTGACGCTTGCAGAAGAAAGGGTGTCTATATTGGGGTTTATCAGCGTCGTACTGGCGATTTGGACGCTGTCGACGAGTTTCACATGGGGCATGAAACTAAGGCGATTCTTGGACAAGCAGATGAGTAAATTCTGTAGAAGAGCTTGATGGCTAATAGTGAATGGGCGTAGAGGGTGTTTGGCTACGATTATCAATATAGAGAGGTGGGCTACCAGCTATAGACTAGATAATTAGTGCACTGGGTACAAGTCTGGATGTACAAGTAGATGCAGGCATGCACAGGTGGCATCGCTAGCCGAGAGTATTAGTCTGTTTATTATCTTTACTATCTAAGCCCTATAAGTAAAGCATGTGTAGTTAAACCTCAGAGAACACCAAACTATTTTAGTCTCGAGGGCGTGCCAAGAGCACGCCAGTTTGTGGACAGGCCAGTAGAGATGGCTCTTGTCGTGACCAGGATAGGGCCGGCGCTACAAGATACACATGCCACGTGGCCTTGATGGGATGGGCAAGACGCAGCTGTGTGAGTCGCAGCAGCCGGACAAGATCTCTAGAGAGCAGGGAAAAGCTACCCTACGACTGATGTATAGCTGCAACTCAACTTAGCTAAGTAGTTACAGCTGTAGACACTGTCGAGAGTGAGTGGCTGATAGGTCTGCTAAATGGCTTACCGCTTGCTATTGCTCAGACAGGTGTGTATCTGCGGGAGAGTGAAGTAGGACTTGGGACGTACCTAAAGCTCTACGAGCAGCAACGGAGTGAGCCAATGGAGTCAGATCACATGGATGACACGCCACTCCAGGACTAACTAGTTATGCATCGACCTGGACACCCTAAATTCGTAGTAGACACTAAATGCAGTGTCTGGAATATGGCCGAGGAAAACGCACTCGTGCTTCGAGTGGTGCAGCGCACGTGCAGGGATATCCAGTCCCAGCGTTTCGGCTAGATATCTGACTGTGATACTCCACACACCTGTTACTAGCATATACATCGATCTCGTAGATGTTTACATTCTTCTTTCCCTCTCTAACACGCTGCTCTACTTGTTTATACGCTACACGTTTGTCACCGTACGCTGAAATGAAGGGAAAAGCGCGTTTGAGCCGCTAAATGAAATGGCATCCCAATACGCGATGCAGAGTACGTATCATCCTCTGAATAAAAAGCGATGCCGCTGTCTTGGTCCTCCGCCTACATTGAGCGCGAGAGCCATTATATATAACTTGCCGCAATGTCGTCGGAGCCGTCATCGTGCACAGAAGTCCTATTGTGGTGTGGCGGGGTAGTGACGCTCTGTGAGTAATACGTAGTAGTAGGGACGTGCCTCGACACGCAGACGCGACGCGCGTTTTGATCCTAGTACGTACAGAAGATGAGCATATATATTGGCGGCCCAGCCTTCGCAACACCAGCGCGCTTGAAACTTCTAAGGCTCAGCGGCAGTCATAAGATAACACGTCTCTGTCGATCCATTCATGCGACTTCGCCAGAAGCAGACGCAGAC